TTTACCCTCACCTATGGTACCCAGTAAAAAATGCCCTTTCCTATAAAAAAAATAACCTCAAACGGCTAATCATCTACGAATTTTGTATCTTGTTAAAAAATCCCTTTGCAAAAGAGGAAAAAGTTAACATTATCCATTCTGAATGCTTGATTTCCATGATAAAAAAAAACAAAAAAAGTTTTTATTAGGTCAGGATATCTTGATGCTGAAACATTTCTGAATAGTAAGCCTCGATACTGGAGTTAAATAATTTATCTCATTTGACATATCAAATACATGCTTTGTTTATCTGTACGTGTATTATTGCTCCAAAATTCAAGTTCAGACAAAAAATCTATGTTATGATATCAACGCGAAAACACTTCGGAGCGGATCCAACAAGACAGGTGCTGTTCAGATAGCTGCTTTTGCTATTTTTGATCTCCATAGTATATGTTCATTTGAGCAACACTTTCCAAATGCTATTAGAGTATGATTTCGCCTTGTTATATAGGCTGCCACAACAGGAGAGCTTTGTTCTAACTTGACGCTTGAACGACCTCACATCGTCAAAATTAGCAAAATTAGAGCCGATTTTAAGTACTAAAAGCTTAGTCAAATTTCAAATATTCACTAGCTACAAATAACATAAATACGACAGATAATAGTCCATTTTTTCAATATACGACAAAAGAAAAACAAATTTTGTGTGCATTTGACTTCAACCTTTTATTTATTCTAATCGGGTGAAAAAAATATTGATATTTAGTAGTACCTACTATCCCAAGACAAAGCCCAGCTTAACTTGTTTTCTGGTTATCGTATACATCTGAGGTTTTAAACTCTTTTGTACCAAGGAAAACCATTCAAAAGTAGCCGATTGCTGCGCAAGTAGAAAACATTCCGACCAAAATTATCGTGGTAATAAATTTGGAAAAAACCTTGAACACAGAGGGGAAGCGGAGCTTCGTACCGCTTGTAACACAAAGATAAAAAAAAAGCAGATGAAGTCATTTCTATTTAGTCTTGCAAACCTTTACCCAGAAAGAATTTGAAAATAGCTATCTAAAAACTCAAAAAACAAATTGTGAAATCAAACCTCTCCAAGCATAATAAAATATAAACAATTAACACCAAATCAAAACTTTTGCCTGATCAAAACTTTCGCCGTCTTTATGCAGCTTTTCAGCGAAGTTTTTTTTTTCAAACGGGGGGAAGTATTCCGTTGAAAAATTTCGGCCTTTGTTTTTCTGCTGATGTTTTGTCGACTTATTTGCCACATCTGATTGTTTTTTTTTTGCAAAACGCATTTTCATTGTAATTGCTTTTAGTGTTTTCATTTACTTTAGCAATTTGAAAAAATTCCGTACTGCAAAAAACTGTGGTAAATAAGTCGACAATACATTAGCAGACAAACAATAAGCCGACATTTTTAACGGAATATTTCGAACCAATGAACTTTGCCGTCCCAGGCTTATTCGTTCACCCAGACCAAATAAGCTAGAAACGCTAAGCAATTTGAATCCATTATGAGCCAGGATAGCAAGGAAATCTGAAAAACAATTGGTTAACCCGGAGCGCAAGCTCAACTAACACAAAAATTATTTTCAAATGGACGGTTACCTTAACATGCTAAAAGTCTAAACATTTGTCTGTAGCAGTATTTCCAACAGAAGGGATCAGGAAATGAGTTTATTAGATGAGTGCGGTGAACAAAGTTACGTACAAGAAAAAGTCTAGAACCAGATTGCAATACACTTCCTTGTCGTAAGGGTAATGAATTCAAATAAACTGACAAAATGACCCTCTTTCATGCCTAGTTTCATTTTTCAAGTTTCTGAATAGAAAAGCGGGTTGCTGAGCCAGCAGCACAGAAAGTTCCGACTAAGTCAGATGGGCTTGAAAAAATAAGCCTGGTCAGTTTCTCAGATTTGTACGAAAAACTGTCTACGAAGAAAAACTGGTTCCTGTTTACAAGGTACCTGCGCTCGCAAGTGTAAACATAGTCAAAAGAGAAATGGAAAAAATCATTGACGCGAAGAAACGGAAAAAATACTAGCCTTCTTTTTGAAAAATGTTTAAAGCTCGAATTTCAAAAAATATATAGATAAGCCCTTAAAGCTCTGCAAATTTCATCCGCAAATTCTTACTTACACTTTTTTGATTTAATTATCCCATTTTGAATCAACTGGATCAATCGGTAAAATTTCTATTCAGCTGGGAAATCTTAAAAATTAAAACCACGCTCAAAACTAGAAGCCAATCAATCTTTTCATGAAATGAGCTTGAAAAAAAATTAGAAGTCAAATAGCGAAAAATCAAAATCGAAAGTGAACAAATTTCAAATAACTAATTTCTGAAAAATTCATCACATCCTATAATCGGCGACTGTAAAAACGTGTAATGAAAATTTCCAGAAATTTTTTTTAAATTAAAAAGGTTTGAAAAAACAGAATAATGATGCAAAATCAATCACAATTCAGTAAAAATTTATAAAATTTACCATTTCAAAACAACTTTATAATTTCATCTCAAAGCATTGTAGAGGCATAGCTGAGATAAGTCACTGCAGAGGCATAGCTGAGATTTGGACACCTTCCGATGTAATAAAATACTATCGTTAAAAGCAAATGAAAATATGAATAGATGACTTGCAGATGAACCGACAAATCAAACAAAAAGTTCAAATACTTTCTCAAAAAATATATAAATTGGCGAAAACAACCAAAATCATGAGCTGAAAAAATTGCACATTAAGAAATTTTACAAATAGAGGCGAAAAATTGCGTTATATGCAATAAAACCCATAGGGCTACAATCACCACAAGCTAACCGACAAAAAAAAAGAGATGAAAGCCGTAGAAAGAAAAAGTTTGTTACAGGAAAAGGTCTAGTACCCGATTGCAATACCCTTGCTTATTCCAAGGGTAAGATAAATCGCAAAAAAGCCAAAAAATATCAGGAACCTAAGCTACGTGCACCATTCGAAACTTACCGAGGAGCTTTTGAAACTCTTAGAAAGAAGCCGAACCTTCAATACAAAACTATTTTCTGTGGGAACTCCGACAAACATATGCAGGGAGGCTATAGTCTAAAGCAGCAGCTGAAAATTTTCAGTCGAAGAAGCCGACAAATTTCCAGGCTTTGTCGTCAAGTATGGTTGTATCCACTAGGCCAAAAGCGCAAAATGCTCCTTTAATTTGATTTTAAAACTATGCAAAATAAATACCTTGTAACATTTTAACGTTCGAATTCTGTGAACCAAGTGTTTTACGGGGGAAAAAGTCTAGCATCCGGTTGCAACACCCTTGCTTATCGCAGAACTTAAAATAAATCTAAGCTAAAAATGGTATGATCCTCAACAATTATTTGAATTACTAGTTGTTTACGGCTTTCATATTTTAGAAATGACCTTATTTGTATTGAAAAGCTCTTCCAAAAATAAAATTTTTCGCTCCCGATTAACTTTTGTACTTTCAAAGTGCTTACTTTGAATTAAATACACATTTGGTTAATGTTCATCGAACAACAATGCTTATCATTCCGCTAGAGCACCTTGGAATACATTTGGGGCTATAAATATGTCTAAATTTATGGTCGCGCCTCCCTTTTACAGGATACAAACAAAGCCATTCGATCGATGCTGTCGCCAAATCTCTTTTTATATCACAAAGCTAATCCCCATAAATAATTCATTACTTTGCACTCATTTCCCGCTCAAAATGTCATAGAGAAGGAAATGAAAACAGTGTCAATTCGTCTTCACCGACCAAACTCACGGGGAAAACCTTGTTTTTGTTGTGTAAGAACAGTGGATTCAGGATAAGGGAGGAATTTACGATAGAAATTATGTGACTTTTTTACATCACTTTCAGACAAATTTTCATTAAAAGCGGCATGGCAGACATGCTAATTTGGACTATGGAGAAACGCAACTTTTTGCTGAAGATATTCCAAGATTTACTTTAGATAACGATTTATTTCAATTCATGTTTATAAAAATCTCGGTAAGGAGTTTCGTCGACCAAAAACAGGGAGTTGAAATTTGAGGACTTTCTCAACAGCAAAAATTACCTCTGAATTGATGTCAGCTTAACAAGAAAACTAAAATTCCAATCAAATGTTAACAAACATGTCATTTTGAAAATATTCACTGACTACTATACTATCTTCATTACAAAAGAAAAGTTAACGTTAAAATCATTCATCATTAATTACTCAATAACTTTTCTTCCAAATTTGGTCAAATCATAAATATACCATAACAATTTAACGTCAATTGTACGATACGTGATTTTCAGAAGCAGCTTTAATCGATCAATTTTACTATAAAAAACTAATATGTTAACAGATGAAAACCATGTAGATTATAAAACACATATCCGTGTTTGACAATTTCACAGTTTTTGATCAAGAGAAGTTCATTAAAACTGATTTTTTTCTCTGTCGTCGGTGACTTTTACTATGTTTGGCTAGATATCTCAGCTTGAAATGATAAATATAAACGGAGAAAATCAGCTGGACAACTTGGCTACATAATTCGTGTCAATTGCCACCCCTTGCTAAAGGTATCTATATAAATCTGACAATTAACAAGAAGACATGTTTGACCTAAATGAGACAGTTCGAAGAAAAACAAACTTTCCTATCCAATTATTCAAAAGATACTATCTGCCAAAAAATCTCATGTAATGAGATTCCTAGGGAAAGGGACAAAATTATCTTGCTGAGAAAAATTATGCTTTAAACTTCAACTTACGTGTTATGAGAGATCCAGCACAGTGGATGTAAGAAAGTATACAGTAGTTCAATGGATGATTAAATATCCCATTTTTATAATTTTTGCTAAACAAAATTAAGGAAAAAAATTGCGGATCCTATAAAATTTGTTTCGCAACGTAAATCATGCATGAATTTAAAAACATCAAACTCTCATTTCAATTAAAATCAAACAGCAAAGTGTCTACTTTAGTACAAGCTCTATCATCTTGTTTAAATGAAAAAAAAATCATCACACCAACCTGATTTCGGGTGAAGAAAACAGCAAAATTCTTTTCTGGATTGAAAACGACGCTCGATTGGATTGCGGGACTCTGTCCTGGAAATATGGTAGCTTCGTAATACTGGTTCGGAGCTTCGTTTTGTTGCTTAAATGATACCTAAAAACAAATAAGGATAGACCCGGCTGCTGTGTAAGTACCACGGAATGTTCCAACCTGGCTGAAAATATAGAAAACATTTCAGATATAGATTTTTTCCCCAAATTTGTCTGTCATTTTAAAAGCGTATTGAATTAGGCGAACAAATTCTTGCTAATTAATAGCCAATATAGATTTAATTTATAGTAGAATTACATTCGAAGGCAAGCCTCTAAATCCTATCCAATGTTTTATCTAATTTAGTCCGAAAAACAAAAATTCCAAAACTTTTCTCGACACTGAGACAACTTTTTCCTACAAATCTTTTCAGAATCCCAATCACAACAAACAAGGCTTTAGTTTGACACCAAACTTGCCTTTTACGAGCTTTCCTCGGGGTAGTCAAATTTGACTCGGAAAAAACTAAAGGCCGACTCTAATCCATAGGATGGTCGAAGGAGCAACAATCTAGCCCTGCAAATTTTCCGACAAAATGTTTCAACAAGCCAAAAACTATGCCATCATAGTTTTAGTGATATGTCGTGGTACAAATAACCTTTGTGTATAAGGGTTAACACTGATTGTCTCACTAAGGAGCTGGACCCACTTATCTTTCTTATGGTAACTGAAGAAATTTTTTTGCACCCATTCTTAGCTTTATACACTAGAGAACATGTGATCGCGTCACTTCTCTATTCTACTGGCTTAATTTTGAATGAGATAGTTTTAATTAATTTTGATCGAGCTATATCTAAGTTTTTTTATATACAAAAAGGCCTCTTGTTTGATCTTTTTTCCTTTGGTTTTTTATTTGATATGATGTCATTGATTTCTACTTTTCACGGGGCTTCAGCAAGCCTCTCGTTGGCTTACTGGCTGTCCTTTCACTAACTAAACTGCAAATTGCGTTACTGAATGTTAGATCACTCATGATGAATAAATAAATAAATAAAAACTCACTTTCTTCAATTTTCCTTGTCCAGTCGTGAGCAGAATGTTTGCAAAATCCCCCACTTTCATGGCAGCAATGCCCGTAAGCAGTTCATCTCTGTAAACCATAATTTCACGGCCAGTCACTAAATCTCCGGGCGCTTTCCCCATCACTTTGTCTGGATAACTGCTGAACATTGGCAGATTTGAGGTCTTGGCGTCCTCATACGGTTTGACCAGCATCTTTTCATCAGTCAATCCTTCTCTCCAGAACTTCTCGCAACTTGATAATAGCCCTGATCCCATACCTTGTTGTCCAATTCCATTGAAGCAATTCTGGATAACTTTTTTAAACATCTGGTCAATCTCATCGATTGAGAAACCACACACTATCGAACTCTCATAACCTACAGCTGCCGTTCCTTTAGTTGAAGACTTGCGAAAGACACCCAAAACAACTTCGGACCTGCCAGATACTGGAGTTCCTAAGTGACTTTTCAGTCCCGAAGGAGGTTCACGAAATAAATTAACAGCTGAAGCGACAGGGTACTCGACGCCTGAGGAGTCTTTGCATGTTAGAGGGATCTCGGTGTAAGTGAAGAGCAACTCTGAATCACGTCTACTATACCTCCCGAGTCTCGTTGTTTGGACATCGCGACTGTTATCCAACTTAAGAAACCCTGTTTCAACTATGTACACAAAAGAGCCTGCAGTGAAAACGCTCACTACTTTTATTTGTTTTTCGTCCATGTCAACTGGTTTAAAAAACGACCATCTTTGCTTAATGTTGTCCTGGAATGTTAAGGAAAATAATTCAGAATAAGGACTCAGATCTCGAACACTAAATAAAAAGTTCATATGAGTTGACACTGAGCCAACTGAAGGCGCATCGCAAGCAACCACAAACAAGTTGGCTCCTTGATCGTTCGGGTATGGGATACCTTTACACCTCTTATCGGGTAACTTCCGATCCAAGTGTTCAATGTTTTCCGGGTCGGATTTTTTAATAAGTGTCGATATGTTTGTACTTTTAAGCGAGTAACAAGTTCCCTGGCCGACATTTCCACACGCAATAAGCTGTTGATTTGTGGAGTCCAACATCAGAAAAATATTTGAATTGTCTTGGAAACATTTTTCATTTAAGGGATCACAATTTGGTTCATCGTTTTGCGGCCCCATTTTAAAGGAAAATCGAGGCTGTAAATTGAATACATCCATTTGTATGACATAGTTAGTGGCGCCGATATAAAGCGCATCAGCTCCATCATATTCTATGTTTTGAATGTCAAGATCAATGTCATTAGGAGGGTAAAAAGTCAGTGAAGAATCGATTCTCTCGGCAGTGGAAAAAGATATAAAGACTACCAAGGCAAGTAGGAAATTGTTTTTCTCCATCATGATCGAAGTGAAATTTTTTTCTCCTTTATCAGAAAATGGCAACAATCAATATTTCAAAGAAGATAGAAGTAAAGTATAGAATTGGCAAAGATTGAAATGTATCCGGCATTTTTGCAAACACAAAGCGTCGGGAGAATGTTTGGCGAAGGCATTGCTGTTATCATAATTAGCCTCGATGCTATATTGTCAAATAAGCGTCACAGGTTACCATGTCATAATCGAATCCACTAAATAACAACGAAAGCAGGCCAAGTTCAATTTGTTAACTAAAGACTGAACTTCAAACGAAAACAAACTACAAAAGAGGGTGACAAACGGAGCAAGTGAAAGAATCTATTTGATGGAATTGCAAGTAATGTTTAAGAATACAAAATTAATAATACCTAGGTTGACCGCACAAAGACCTGTTTTTGATCCCTCAGGGAAGACATTAAAACTACCCATAGTAGCAAAGCATCAATTGGCTCATACTAAAAAGTAAAGTTACAAAATTGAAGTATTTATATTACAAGTAATAACAGAAACAAAAATAGAAGCAACAGCTAATTTAGTGTGACGCGAGCGATATGGCGTGACATTTAGATTGGTTGAGAAGGTGAATCAGGAAAATCAGGTAACCGTGGTAAGTGGAAATTACTGGATTGGATAACAACTATCGGTAAATCTTCCGTACTTTTACAGCCTCCAAATTTTTTTTCGAGAAGTCAGAATATTTAAGAAAGTTAGGCATGCAATCTGAAACCTTTGACTCAGTAAAAAACAGATTATATGAAATTTATTTTAGCGCTTTATAATGACCACAAAGCAGCTTTTCCTTATACTTGATTTGCATAAAATTACCATTTTATAAGGGATATTTACTGAGTTGGTCGTTTTATTTACAACTCAGGAACAACATACCGTTAGTAAAATTTACAACAGAAAGTCCAAAACGGCAATTTAAGAGGAAACAACAATCCGTCTCTGTATTTCTAATATCTCGTTTTAATCAAACATTTAACAGTGAGAAAAAGAAATTTATTCTTTGCTGAACATAATAAATGAAAATACTTCTATCTCATTGGTCTAGAATGTAATTCCATTTATTTGAGTCTCGATTTTTCACTTAAGCACAAGGAGCATTGCATTGAATGTTTATGTACAGAGTTGATGCTTTGAACTAACAGAAGTGCCTGGTAGTTGATAAGGAAATAATGCGTATTGCAGCCGCGCCTATCAGATGTTTGTTTCATCGCAGAATAACTTCGTTAAAAAATTTCACAAACCAGTTTTTCATAGAGTAACCTTTTCATGTTCCGACTTTCGAAGAAAGTAAAGGAATATATATGCTTGGGGTGGTTTTTATTCAGATCAATTTCGACGACCGAAATAGTTTTCAACAAAAAAATGTATATATCGACTCCCTTAGTTCAAATGTAAAAAGATAAACTGCGCAACTTTCTGGTTAATGTTTGGATATTGAATAATTGTCGGTTGGAATATTCTCGATTAGTTTCTGCGCGCTTTTAAGAATGCACATATGAGGGGCCTACAAAGATAGACGACAAGCAAACTAGATAACCGTAAAATAACTGAATTAAGATGATCAGAACTTGGGCAACCCAAATTTTTTGTTTAGAATGAGGGTACAAAAAAACAATATAATATTAAAGAACTGATCAAGTTTATTATTGTAAGCTAATAACAAAATTTTAAATGAAAAAAGTATAGTACATTTTGAAATAAGTTATACAACAGTGACATTAATAACCTGATTTGTAGAGATGGCAGGGTACAGGTACTAGTACATTTTCTAGTATGGTAAGGTACCCAAGTTGAAAGGTACCAGTACCTTGCCAACACAGGGGTTAATGTTTTCAGTATTTTAACGCTGTTTTAATTGATGATGTTGAAAAAATCAATTTTCCAAATGACAATTCCAAAAAAGTTTTTCGAAACCAGTTTTTTTTAGCCTGAACGAAGTCCTCTTTGAGGTACCAGTACAGATACTATTACGTACTGGTTTCAGGTGGTACTAGTACATTGCACGTAGTAAAATGCACGACATTTTAATACTAATAGCCCTGCTTGAAAATCGTTACGATGTAGAAATAGAACGAAAACCATCTGAATCATGCGAAATCTCCCGACAGTCATCAAGAGGCGAATTTCAAATCCCAAAAAGCCGCTTGCAAAGAACGGACGACAATTTTTTCAGACGAGTGAAACATCTATACAACTGTCTTATCCGAGCCTGCCCAACTTTTAGCCTTAGACCAAGCAAAGCGACTCTGACCTACATATACCAGAAATACTTCAAAAAAATGTACAGTGAAGTCAACAAATGTACATGGAAACTCTTATGCAGATGTGGAAACTGCAATGTTTACAACAAACTGAGATAAAACATGGACTGCAAAAGGGGTGAAATTCCCTAGAGCTAATGCTCTGAAGCCTATTCTACTACTACTACTACTACTACTACTATTGCCAACTTTACTGATTTGTTGTTGGAGAACAAGTGTTTACTCAAACAGAAAACAATAAGGTCTGTAAACAAATTTCACGCAATTTGCAGGCAAGTTATCGTCTAAATTCCGTTAATTTCTGATCGTCTAATTTGCTTGTCGTCTTTTTTCTTAAACCCAACATATCATGATTAAAGCGCAAACCCCAATTATTTAAGCGTGGCGAACTAACCCGCACTAACAGTCTTCTTTATTTGATTTGAGGAAAGCTTAAGGATCGGGGGCTAGGAAATTAGACGACATGCAACTTGGACGGCTCCAATTAAACGGAAATTAGACATTATTTTTGCATAACTAGCATTCTCGACGAATAGCTTTGGGACGAAAAGTTGACAAAATTAATTGCTTGAAACAAACTTTCACAAGTACGATAAGAGTTTGCATATCAAAATAACTAGCGTGTACCGCACCTCCGGTGCTTCGAAGTTTCCACAACTCAAAAATTATTCTTTAAGTGTACTCTGACAGCACCCAATTACAGGGTTCGTAATAAAAAATGTTGCAAAGTTAAATTCAAGTTTTTTATACAAATTTTGAAGAACCATAAAACTTTGTGAAGTTTTACTGAAGTTCTTCAAAAAATTTAAAATGAACTAAGAAACGTCACATCTGGGAAACTGGAAGCAATTGAGCAGTCGCATTTGGACGCAAGATTGGCAACTCCTGATAGAAACTTCAAAATTTGTAAAATTTTTCATTCGATTTTGAAAAACCATAAAAATTTTGGTTTGCAAAGTTTGTGAAGTTTTACTGAAGTTCTTCAAAAAATTTAAAATGAACTAAGAAACGTCACATCTGGGAAACTGGAAGCAATTGAGCAGTCGCATTTGGACGCAAGATTGGCAACTCCTGATAGAAACTTCAAAATTTGTAAAATTTTTCATTCGATTTTGAAAAACCATAAAAATTTTGTGACATTTTTTATATCTAAGTTTATAATGAATTAAGAAACGTTTCATCTGAGAAGCTGAAAGCAATTGAGCAGTCGCATTTGGACGCAAGATTTGCAACTCCTGAGATTACTCTTACAGTACCCAACTACAACGTTGGGAAATTAAAATTTTGAGAAACTACACCTTAAGTTTTCTAAAGGAGATATTTTTTGAAAACCAGAAAAAATTCACATCTCGAAAACTAACAAAATTTAAGCAGCCTTTTCTGATGGCAATATGTGCAATCTTTGAAAGTACACAACTACAGGGTTGATAATTTGACAAACGAATTATTTTGTAATTTGATTTTTCTGAAAATTTCCCAAAAAATCACAAAAATCGTCGTATCTCTCAAACAAAAATGATTTGGGCATTTTCAATTGGAGTCCGAATTTGCAACCCCAGAGATTACTTTGACAGCCTCCCAACTACAGTTTAGGAATTTCAAATTTTGAAAAAAAAATTGTTTCATTTTCATGAAATTAAAAAAAAATCACAAAACGTCATATCTGGAAAACTGCAAAATTTTGAGAAGTCCTATTTGGAGGGAAAATTCTAATTCCTATTTGGAGGAAAAATTCGCAACTCCTGAGAGTACCCTGACAGCGCCTCACGACAGAGATGATAATATTCAAGTTTCGTGAAACTTTTTTTACCTAAGTTTTCTAAAAAAAATTTGAAAAAAATCTCAAAAAAAAAAACGTCATATCTCGCAAACTACAAAAATTTGAGCAGCCATATTTAGAGGCAAGATTCGCAACCCCCTGAGAGTACCCTGACAGAGCCTCATTACAGAGATGGTAATTTCAAGTTTTGTGAAATATTTTATATCTAAGTTTTCTAAAAAAAAATTTGAAAAAAATCTCAAAAAAAAACGTCATATCTCGAAAACTACATGGATTCGACCAGCCATAATCAAAGGCAAGATTCGCAACCCCCTGAGAGTACCCTCAACAGTATCCAACAACAGGATTGACATCTTCAACGCGTTGGAATTTTTTTAATTCCGAGTTTTTGAATTTTTTTTTGAAAAATCATAAAAAACGTCATATCGCAAAAACTACAAGTATTTGAGAAGTGAGGATTGGAGGCAAGATTTGCAACCCCTGAGACCACCCTGACAGCACCCAACTACAGGGTGAGAATTTCAAATTTTGAGAAATTTTTTAAAATTAAATTTTCTAGAAATTTTTGAAAAATCTCGAAAATTGCCTATCTCGTAAACTAAAAGGATTTGGTTATTCCTATATAGAGGCCAGAATCGCAAAACCCGGGAAATCTCTGACAATATCCTACTATTGGGTTGCTAATTTCAAACTTGATGAAAAAACACTGAATTTAAACTGGAAAATTGAAAAAACCTTAACCATTGCAATATACGATATAGCTTAAACATGCAAAAATAATACGTTGAAAAAGCTTAAACATGGCGAGATAGTGAAGCCCGCATTTAAATATATAATAGATAATTATTAAGATTTTTGAAACGTTAATCCAAAATTTAAGAGACATTTTTTGAAATGCATAAATTATACAAAAGCGACTTGTGAAAAAATGAATTGCAATTAAGAAAGCTCAAAAAAACATTCGTGGGTCTAGGACTACAAGCCGACGAGACTTCCGGCCGAAGGCACTTCAGGCCGAAACTTTATAAGCACCTCAAAATGCCATTTTTTCCTTGGGAATGGATTCCATAAATTACAGCAGCCGGATTTTGAAATGAAAACATTTAAAAAATTAAACGACAATGTTTTAATTTTTTACTTTCCTAAACATCAGTTAGAGGCTAATTTTTGCTAATTTTTATGAAAAAGCCAAAAACTGGTAAAGAAAAATCATGAAAAAGAGAATTTGTTCACGCCAGTCTTCAAATTAATCATATTTAACGACTTTATGAGAAAAATTTTGGCTTAAAGTTGTAACATTGGCCCGGAAGATACATATCGACGGAAAATAAAGCTAGGTTCTAAGACGACTGGCCAACGTCTAAACAGAGCTCTACATGCTTTTCACCGTCCCTACCAAGCCAGTACTTTCGGTGGTCTTTCTAACATCGGGTCGACAAAAACGTTACTGCTTTCGGCTTCGGTCAAAACACTCAAATTAACTAGATTACATGCAGAAATAGTGAGCTCATGGCTGGGTCTCAGTATCCCCAGACCACGAGGATACTCCTAAAATCAGGGCTACTACTACTTATTGAATTATTATTGTTTTTGCTCAGTAGATAAAAATCATCATCTCTATCGAAGATGGATCAACCTTTCCCTCAACTCCTAGCTTCTCATCCTAGCAAAATGAATTCAGATGTTAATTAAATTCAATTCAGGACATAATAGGGAAGCTAAAAGTTTGTATAAGATGATAAAAATTCCAGTCCCGAGACCCCTCCGGATTCTCGAATCCGGGGTAATAAGACCTTTATCTTCCTCCCGGAAGGCTGTCTTCCACCCTTCACCGTTGTTCGCAACGGCCTTGCAACTATTGTAGCGACACAATAGTTGCAACTCGGAACGGTCTCTGCTACTTCTGCAATTTGTTGTCGTTTTCCAATCACAATTCTCGTCGTTATCGCTATCGCAACTAATGTTGTTATGTTTCATTTTGGTTTTCT